TGGGGTGAGACGTGGGGGGGGGGGGGGGGTGCATCTCTTTGTGCTGGAGACATGGAGTTTGTTCCTTGTTCTGCTTTTAGCTAAGAAATCAGGATCTCTGCCTAATTTTCCCCCTATGTGGTGGTGAATTGAAGGTGTGGTGGGAGCCTCTAGTACCAAGCTGGGAGCAGCGTACTCATTTCATTAGGGTGGCAGCTCGTTGCTTCACAGTCGGCCTGTGTGGCGATACATAGTGTACTCACAAGCACTGTGGGACATGTACAAGTTGGGATTCCTTTAACTGGAATAAGTCCGCATAGACGTTGTCTACTGCTGCTACTGTGTGTAAGTGAGATGACTATAAACACTGGTAAAAAAAACATAAGTATGGAAACGTCTTAACCTAAAATGGTCCATTTTCAGGTGTTTTAGATCCCAAGTTGAGGAAAGCATGTGGAGTAGGATTTGTGATTCTGCTTTGATCTTGTGGTCTTGAAAATATTGCAGTCTTGGTTCTCGTAGGATTAATTGCTGGTCACGTAGCTCATTTTACATAAGAGTTAAAAATACAGAGACATCTGAGGTCACTGGGGAGGGAAATGCCAGGGAGAGAGATGAGGGACGGCAGCAATGTGGTGCTAGTAGTTAGAGCTGTCGTGGTTAGTGTATTGACAAATGTTCCTGGCACACTGCCTGTTTTTGATAGTGACCATTGACACGTGCAAAGGCCCTCAGGAAGTAAAAATCTGCTGAGGGGAGTTTTCAGGGGCTCTGAAACGGAATGAGTGCTGATGGAGACAGTTGCTGGGTTCAGCGTCTATTGTGCTCATTTCTGATGATGTCTTGGCACTTTACTTGAATCAGCTGACAAAGACAAGGAGAGTTACAGACTTTAATCTGCGTTTCTCGCTGCCATACAACAGAGCTGGTATAACAATGGTTCTTTGTAGCATGCTTGATACCTCAAGGTCCTCCCAGAGGCTGCTGAAGGGCTTGCAGCATGACAGCGGTTCCTGCCATCTGAGTGTCCCCATCTTTTTAGAATTCTCCAGCAATTCTTCCCAAGTATTTCACAAGTTGGCACCGGCTCCATTTCTGGGGCAGCCAGTGTTGGCAGTCCTGCTGCTCCAGGGGTGGGGGGACTCAAGCCCACAACTGTGTGCTCCCCAGGTGAATGCCCTATCCCGTCAGCCACTCCCGGACCCACTGCACCGTCTGTGTCCCTTATCCTGCCTTCCCCATGCTAGAGCCGTCTCCTTTTCTGGGGCAGCCCAGGTCTATCCTTGGTGATGGCACCCTTGGGACAAAGGAAGGATAAGGGGGCCCAGAATCTAGACAGATTAATACTAAACTGTTTAAGCTGGAGGCTGCTTGATGGTGATGGCCAGGGATTAACCAGACCAGTGCGCATTGCTTCTTGTCCAACTAGATCAGCCATCGACTTCAATGACTGACCAATCTGAGCCATCAAGGCAGTGTCATTGGCATAGCTGAAATCTCCCAAGAGAATGCTGTTCATTGCTGCCACTGACAGCTGGCTCCTTGAGCTTCTCTATGAACTCGTCAGTGCTGGTACTGAGTAACGACGGCAACAGAACACAGCGTAGCTGAGCACCTGTGGAAATAGGAAAGCAGATTGTGGATCTGCCACTGCGTTGAGCACAGCTTCTGTGCCTTTATAGAGCGCTGCTCTCATTGACAGCATCTTCCCAGAGATGCTCTTATGCTCCGGATGCTTCAGCTTACAGACTGCTACCTGGCTGAATGAAGGTGGTTCTACTGGGACTTCAGGCAGTGGGTAATCAAGGAACCTCATGACATGATCTTCCCACCAGTGCAGCTGGTCCTTGCAGACTCTGGCTCATGATACTATCCTGATTCTTGGTTTTCTGTAATTAGATCTTTCTATTCTTTGCTTAGACCCACTTGCATTTTGGTTCTTAGTTATGAACTTGTTCTCGGTGTTACTATAAGTTCTCCTCTGTGGTGTTATACCGAAGTGTGGCTCCTCAATTCACCTAGCAGGCCGTACATGCACTTTCTCTGTTAATTTCTGTGCGTGTCCCGTGATGGGCTGGATGAGGAAGAAACGTTCTTCCAGTTTCTAGAACTAGGACACATCAAGAGTTATCTACAAGCAATGTTCCCTCTTCTCTTTTCTATCGTAAGAACATCAGAACCGCTCCACTGGGTCAGACCAAAGGCCCATCTTGCCCTGTGTCCTGGCTGCCGACAGCGGCCAATGCCAGGTGCCCCGGAGGGAGTGAACAGAACAGGGAATCCTCACGTGATCCCTCCCCTGTCGCCCATTCCCAGCTCCTGACAAACAGAGGCTACGGACACCCGCCCTGCCAATCCTGGCTAATAGCCACTGATGAACCTGTCCTCCATGAATCGATCCAACTCTTTTTTGAGCCCTGCTTGGCTTTCACAGCATAGTCTGGCAAAGCGTTCTGCAGGTTGACGGCATGGAATACATGTTTATGTACATTGAGATACCTGTGAATGTGCACCACCAATAGAAACCAAAAATCTAGCTGTGGCACTCTGCTAATCAGCTGGTGGCATTTGAATCTCTCCTGAGTGGCTGCACATACACACGGCTTACAGAGAACACTGTCTGCAAGGCAGAGTAAAAACTGGCAGGGCTTTAGATTGGATTGTTTGGCTGCCTAACAGGCTGAGCTGGTAGAGAGCGTCACCCAGATTAGTTCCAGCAAGTCTCTTGCTGAGACAGCAGGGTAACAAGTTCTGGACCCCCCAAGAAACGATCCCAGCCCCACAGGCATATCCACCAATTAATATGTAATGAGTGTAATACATTTACCGCTAGCTAAGGACGTTGGTTGTGTTTTCCCCACAGGTGCAGTCAGCGTCCTCCTTATGAATGGACATGGCAGGACCTGCTATACGCATTGGGGATCAGCTCATCCTAGAAGAAGACTATGATGAAACATACATACCCAGCGAGCACGGTAACTGACATTTGCCTTCCTCCGAGCAGAAGGACAGGGCTCAGCAGAGCTGAGCTGTTCTTAAATACTGGAGGGGAATGGCAAATACAGACAGTGGGTCAGTTAGCTAGAATGAAGGCCGTGGTGGAGGGTTGAAAGGATTGTAGTGGCACTCCCTCCTGCTATCCTTAGCAGCCAGTCTCTCAGAGATTCTGATCTGCTGGCACATTCAAGCAGGCGGGGTTACAAGGCGAAGGTGGAGACTGACATCGATCCAGTCAGACTGGCTAGGGTACTCACTAAAAAGTGATCCCAAGTTGATTCCTGGTTCCAGTCCTTTGCTGTAGTTGGGTCTGTCCCAGAGGAAACCAGCCATGGGGGGCTGAGCAAGAGAGACAAACTCTTTTAGGAAAACTAGGGGGGGGGGAATGATTGTCAAGGGGCGAAGGTGTCATCTAGTGGTTTGAGCGGGATGCTGAGTTTCAGGGCTCTTGGCGCCTGATTCTCCTCTCACTTAAACTCGTACTAATATCATTTTTGCAAAGTTCAAAAAGATTTCATAAATATATGTACATGTATTTCTTCCTCAGCAAATAATGCAATTACACACCAACCCCCCACCTCTTTTATTAATTAGTTTTCTTTATTTATTCAAATAACATTTTTAGGGGAAACCTCAGAAGGTAAATGTGATATTAACAAAGTGTTAATTTTTATAAATTTGTTTGCATTTTTAAAATATAGTTATAAGACTGCCATCATAGTTAAATGGTTAAAAAATAACAATTTAGGCATACAGCTAACCAGAGTATTTCAACAGGCTTCCACCTTTGTTTCCCAACATGATCAAGGATCAGAAAACTGTCATACCCGCAAAGTATATGCATCACCCTGCATTTAAATTTCTTATTGATTGTATAGCCTGTATTTAAAATTCATTCTGGTTTATTTTTATTCTCTTAAAAGTTCTGTTCAAGGGAAATTGTGTTTGCTAATGTTTGTGCTTCTAAACAGTTAATAAACATTAAAATAGGTTTCACAAGCAAATTAATTCTAAAAATCATGGTAAAAATTATGTAATTAGCTCTTTTCCTAAAAACAAGTGCTCAGAAAAAAAAGTAATACACCTTCTTACAGAAGAGTGTTAGCATCCATTTTAGCAGTTAAATATTATATTTAGTATAAAATATTCGTAATGTACAGGCAGTCCCCAGGTTACATGGATCTGACTTACATTGGATCCCTACTTACAAACGGGTTGAGGCAACCCTGCACTAGCTGCTTCCCCCCAGCAGACCAGGGAGACGCGGAGCAGCTTTTCTCAGCGGACACCTCAGCTTGAGAATAAAGGACTGAGGGAAGTGAGGTGTGGGAGAATAAAACTGAGCTCTGGAGAAATGTTTGGCTAGAGTTTCCCCTACAATATGTACCAGTTCCGACTTACATACAAATTCAACTTAAGAACAAACCTACAGTCCCTATCTTGTAACCTGGGGACTGCCTGTATCTCAAGAAAAAATGAATATTCAATATTGCTAAGTTATAGCTTGTGTTGTAAAAAATTCAGCAACCTATATGGTAATCAAACTAAATTAATCTGTGTATTACATTTTGGGTTACTAAAAACAAGAGAAATGTAAAACAAACACACATATTTATTCTGTTATTTAATTTAAACTGTTTAAGGTTGTATCCTCCAAACCAAAAATGCTTAAAAAACTCAGCACAAAGACACAAAAAATAATGGTATACAATTAAAAAAAAAAAGCCCAGGTATATAAAAAAAAATTTTATTAATAAAAAACAGGTCAAATGCACTCAATCTACTATATCTGGACATTTAAATTGGCAGTCAGCTGAAAATCACTGCTAATTAACTTAAAGTTGGCTATTCTATAAAACGAACAGTAGTACTGCTGTATCAGTGTATTATTGCTGTACATCATTTACAATGTGCATAACATTGCTAAACTGTTTAACCATCACAAAGGTAAAAAACAATCAACAGCCAACAACAAAACAAGATGGTAAATAAAAAGTTGCATCATAACTATACATTAAATAAACAAATTCACTGTTAGCATGAGTCACACTTTAGAGTCAGTAACACTGTTCTGAGGCACGTGATTCAAAACAATCCAATACTAAACCCTGACACCACAACATTTAATTAATCGGTTCCTGCTCATTCAGTAGGTTATCTAAAAAACAGCATCTAGAAAAAAAACACCTGACTCTATATCAACTACTGGCATAGCACAAAGCAGTGTTACCAATGGAACAAAGAAGCTATCCCTGTTTCCTGCCCAGCTAAGCTTATACCAAGAATCTACAACCAGCAGTAAAGGTAACCTGTAACATAAATAAACAGTACTATGTAGTAACCAATTAAAAACAATTGTATATAAAAACCTCATTTGTAATGTCACGACTCCAACTTTCTCTTTAACTTTTCACACCCGTAGTCTTGTGGCACACGCTCTGACAATGCTTATCCCAATATTGCAAAACACAGCCTATAACCAGTAACGGTAACTGTAAAGCTTGGGTATAAGGTGGTGTCGTAGGTACACATACCTGTATGTCCACTTACACCAAATATATATACACCATATCCACATTATCCATCTATGTTTCTTATTTGGCAGTGCTCCAAGGTTCAATCGTAAAACTACATTCCTCAACCAAAGTCCTAGGCCTAACATTCCCAGGCCCACCATAAAAAACTTAATATAACTAGCAAATAAAATCTGTCTGTCAGTCGTACAAGGGAATGTGCAAACCAAGGGACAGATGTGGCATGAATGTGTAAATGGCAAAGCAAAATAGCCCCATCAGTCCATGCATTATGCTTTTCTGGGATGATAGGTAAACATCCTCCCTATAAAAAGTGGGAGAATGTAGGAGGAAGAAAGAGCCTGAAGCATAGGTCTGGTACCTGAAGCAAAGTGAGCAAGAGTTATCCTATGAGTAACAGACAGGCTTTGTCACAAGCAGATGTTGCCGGTAAGTCCGTGTGTCTCGGCACTAGAAGTGCTAGCACTGCTACAAGTACATGAGACCTGTAAATGCATTCCACCAGGACAGCACAAGGATACCCTGACTTAGTACATAATCAAAGAGTTTGAAACAGCAGGTGTGAAAGCAGAACAACGGGTGGTGAATGGGAATGCTTTGGAGGAAAGTGCAAGGGGAGGTACCACATGTGTCATTAATGTGTAAGATGATGCCTAAGATATGTATCATAAATTATTTATCTCCATCTATAAAGGTTTGGGTCCCTCAACTTAACTCTTTGGCTGGCCAAGGGGGTTATAGTGAAATCCATACTATTGACTGAGCTGGGTCCATTGTCGCGGGTACAAATTGCATAGAGGCTCAGGGGCTGTGTGACTACGATCGACTATTAATGTATGTCATTCGACGATAAACCTGACTCGGTGCCTTTGTATCTTTTTTGAGTCTGTGGCCTTTGGGGGCTTTCTTGATGTCTATGATGCTAGCTACCTGCGCAGAGCTGGCATGATACACTGAGGGAGCCTATGAAAATGCACGCAGCCAAATGTTTATCATCACTGACCAAAAAAGGAAAAAAGTCAGAATGCCACCCCAGTAAATCCTAAATGTGCTACCTCGCTGTCCTAATCTACCGCAGTTTGCATGCATTGATGCCACTGACTTCCATGCAGTGAATTCTGGTGTTGGGTCGTGTGATCGGAGACGAAGGCTCTTGGTTTCCATCCCTATGGATATACTCCCATTTGTGGCTGTCTCTGTCTCCCACCCCTGCAGGGTTCAGCCTGGCTCGCCCATCGTAAGAGTCTCCTTGGCGCATGGATGTTTTCTACAGCTCTGTGCAGCCTATTTCTGGTGTCTTCAATGAAGGGGCTTCCCAGCTCCCTTTGGTTGTACTGGTCACAGGCTCATATAGTAACGCAAGCCTTGCTTGTCTCCCACACTGTCTTCTACTGACTTTTGTGTCCTCTGCTTCTGTTTTACCAGAGATTCAGGAGTTTGCCAGGGAGATAGGGATTGACCCGGAGACCGAGCCGGGGTTGATGTGGCTGGCCAGAGAAGGCATTGTGGCTCCTTTACCTCCAGAGTGGAAACCATGGTGAGAACTCTGTGAGAACTCTGCATCAGCCGCTCTTTCAGTAGATTGCCAGCCCCTCCTTGCTAACCCCTGTCTGAGGAACAGGGGAAAGGAGTGTGTGGCCGGAGCAAGGGGCTGGGGGTCGGGGCTCCTGCGTGTTATTCCCAGCTCTGCAACAAAACAAGTTTGTGACCGTGGGTAAGTCACGCCCCTCCGTGCCTGTAAGTGGGGGTGCAGCAGTAACAGACTTTGCAGGGTGGTGGGAAAGCTGCCCTCGGGCGAGGGCGGAAGCAGTTTGGGAGATGTGTGTGGTGGAGACTGAGACGTGCTGCGGGCCAGCTGCTCCCCCCGCCTGTGTATTTGGGCTTTCCTGGGGCCGTACGCTCCACTTCCGTGGCCAGTTGGCAAAGCCCTTTGAGTGCCAGAGGTGAAAGGTTCTGTGCCATGCTCAGCTGGCAGGTAGTTCCCATGCACAGAGCGGATGCCCTGACTCTGCTGTTTTCCTGGTCTGTTTCCCCACGTCAGTCAAGATATCACTGGTGACATCTATTACTTTAACTTCGCTAATGGCCAGTCCACGTGGGACCACCCTTGTGACGAACATTACAGAGAACTTGTCGTCCAGGAGCGGGAGAAGCTTTCGGCTCATGGCGGCGTCAGAAAGAAAGACAAGAAGAAGAAGAAAGAAAAGAAGGAGAAGAAGGAGAAAAGGGAGAGGGAGCCAGTGAATCATGCTGCAGTGAGTACACGGAGAGGCGCGCTGGGGAGGGCCAGGAGAGCCAGCCCGAGTGAGCGTGACCGGTTGCTGGTGTGTGTAGTACAGCCTGCTGCTTGTGGTGGTATTAGCTGGGCAGAATGGATGACCTGCCCGGTTGGCTCTGGGCGTGAGGTGGCTGGGGTGGGGAGCGGTGCGGAGGGAGGCAGGCATGGCATCGTTTCTCCATTATTAACTGGGTCAAATCCCTAAGGAACCCTGGCCCAGGGGAGAAATTGGCCTGTTCAGGGGAGCAGCTGCTGCCACTAAACTCTGTTACCCTCAGCTGCTCTGCACTTGGCTTGCTGTGGTCTCCCGACGCCTGGTGTGAGGGGCCGAGAGGTGGAAGGAAGGCGGGCTCAGCGCACGTTTCCTCTCTCCAGTCCTGCGCTCACAAGGGAGTGGGAGTGGGGAGTGTAGCTGCACGCACCACTCTGAGCCCTCCTACTGCAGGGCCCGAGGGCTTGTGCTGAGCCCTGGCCCCGGCTTTCCAGCATATTGTTCTTCCCAGTTGCCTGGACCCAGGCGTCCAGCTGCTCATGTGCCTGAGGTAGAGTGGGTCCGTGGCACCCCCCGCCGTTCCTAACACGTGGCACGCCCACGTGCGGTCACAGGCCTTTGCAGAGCGTGGGCCCAGGGCCCTGAGCGTGGGCCATTCCTCGTACTTCCTGCCTTTCGGGAATGGAGTCATTGCTGGGCTGGGTGGGTGGACTGTCGAATTTTTGGAGCTGTTTTTCTTCACTGGCAGGAGCACCCAGTGTTGTTTATGCAGTAACTGAGCACCAGTTACTATGGTATCTAGGCGCCTGGCACGGCTTCAAAGCAATAGATTGGTCTCTTTGGCTTGGTGGTTGGCAACAAGAGTGGGCATCCCAACGGCAACCATTGCTCCCCCTCCAAATAGAGAAGGCGTTCCCAGTTTTGCCAGCAGTTGGGTCAGTGCTTGGCTGATGAGAGGTACCTTGCACTGTCCCTTAAAGGGCAGCAGGCTCTCTGGGGTAGAAGTGCTCCAGGCAGGCACCTTCCATGTAAAAGATCCAAGCCTTTAATTTGAGCAACTTCTTAGTGTGTCGTATTTCAGAGGTTCCATTTCGTGCTGTAGATGAGTGTGAGCATCGCATGCCGTGTGTCTTAGCTGTCTGCTGATATTTATTTACTTAGGAAATGCAGCCAGAGCCAGGGATTCTTCCTTCAACATCCTTTTATCGAATGTCCTCTCCCATCTTGTCCTCTGAGTGTGCCAGTCCTGATCTAGACCAGGAGAGCCAGATTAGGAATGAGGGCTTCCTTAAGAAAGGCAAAGGAAAGACCTCTGCGAGACCACCAGAGACACATGAGTCAAACAGACAGCTTTCAGGGCCCCCCCCAAATAAACTGCAGCCACTTCTCACAGCAAAGTCCAGCAGAACTCACCGGATCCTAGCTGATGTGGAGAAAATTTTAGGGAGGACGTCATCTTTTAGCAAATTGGATGTAGACAACCAGCAGGGCCAAGACAAGGCCCCCAGAATTGGAGACAAGCCTGGTCTTGGCTGTTCTGACTCCGAGTCTGAAGGTTTAGATGTTAAGCCAAAGCTCCTTTCCTACGTGTCAAAGAAATCATGTTTACAAGACACTGAGAATGTGAGCAATGTCCCAGGTTGCCCCGAGGCCCGGGAGGGCAAAGGTCTTCTCTTTGTTGAGGAAAAGCTGGCTAGTCACCAGAAGGAGGAAACGGCAGGAGGGGGCGTCTGTCTGCCTGATGACAGTTTGCCAGTCAGAGAGAGATCAACAGGACCTGGTGGCGATAAAGAAAAAGGTCCAGGTTTATCGCAAGCCGATGACAATGAAGCTGCCTTGACCCCCTGTGCCCCTGACCACATTTTTTACAGCAGGAAATGTGCAATGATTCTCTTTGAGGCCAGTCCCACAGAAGACCTGAGTTTGATGGGGGAGCTTGATGCTCATTGTCCCCAGCAAGAATTGAGGGCGCACAGCAGAGCAGCTGAGAGCAGAAGGAAGGTGCTGAGTCAAGCCACCAAACTCTGCAAGAGCAGTGAGGCTGTGGGCAAGTGTGAGCAAGAGGGCTCGAAGCAGGCAGAGCTTGTGCAGTCTGAAGGAGCAGGCCAGAGAACAGGCTCTGACATGGCTGCAGATCCTTTACCCTACACCACAAGGGCAGGAGCTGATACCCCCACCTCCGAGCCTGTTTGTCTCTCTGCCGGCCAGCACAAAGACCAGGGGAAGGCAGATTGCTTGGGGCCCGAACCTGAGAGCAGCATTACAAGCAGTTCAGCTGATCATTTTGCATCACAGGTTTTGGGAGAGGTCGATAACTTTTCCTGGGATCTCCAGAGCTCTCATGGGTCTGACAAGCAGACAGACCTGCTCACAGTGGC